TGCCTACCGTAACTATAAATTTTATGTATGCCCAGGGCATGATAAAGATCAAATATGCCAAGACCCCACCCAGTTTTATTGCCCATCCTGGAAATGTGTTTCTACGGGCAATATACACTGGACCCTGGCCAAAAATAATGATTTAATCATGGTGCAGCGGGATCCTTTAAGCCACCACCGAGGGTCCTGTCTGGCTCCCACTTTTTGCGACCCCGTCATCATAAAATTCACCCAAGCTGGGCAACAAGCTAAAGACTGGACCTTAGGGAAAATATGGGAGATTAGGCTATATGATGAAACTAGAATTCGCTGGAAGGACTATGGGAGTCTCTTTATGATCCGGTTGGTTATTCATGATCTAATTGTCCAGCCGGTAGGACCCAACCAGATACTAGCACCCCTGCGGGTAACCCATAAACCTATACAGAGAGAGACTAGCACTGTGGGAACCCAGCTCAGCCTCCACCCTCGTGCCATCCACGTCCCCAAAGAGACTTGTGCCACCCACGAGCTCCCCTAGCCCCTTATGGGAGCTGCTCCAACAGACTTTTTCCTTCTTCAATGCCACCAAACCTGAGGCAACTCAGTCCTGCTGGCTATGTTATAATCCCTGGCCACCCTATTATGAGGGCATTGCAATTGTAGGAAACTATACCACAAGCCCAGATTCCAGTGCTTGTCAGTGGTCCCCAAACACTGTAGGCCTGACCCTACAGTCAATCATTGGAAATGGAACCTGCGTGGGCCACCCACCTCCGAAGGTTTGGTCCTTGTGTGCCCAAACTTTCCCACTAGTCTCCAGTACCTTCCACCTGCCCCCCGAGAACGGATTGTGAATATGTTCCACTGGCTTAACTCCGTGTTTTCATGGGCAGGTACTCAACCAGTCTCAAGATGGCTTTTGCATCTTGGTGCAGTTACTTCCCAAAATACTGTACCATACTGATGAGGACGTATTCTGGTTACTGACACAAGGAGAACACACCCGGGCTAAGAGGGAACCAGTCTCTGCAATAACCCTGTCAATGTTGCTAGGACTAGGCCTTGCCGGGGCAGGAACGGGTATTACCACCCTAGCCACTCAGTCCCATCATTACAGTAGCCTTCGGGCTGCAATAGATTCTGACATAGAGAAAATAGAAACTTCTATTTCACACTTACAGGACTCCCTAATCTCACTGTCTGAAGTAGTTTTGCAAAACCGTAGAGGCCTAGACCTACTGTTCCTCCAACAAGGTGGCCTCTGCACCGCCCTGGGAGAAGAATGTTGTTTCTACACTGACAGTTCAGGCATAGTAAAGGAATCTATGGCTAAGGTACGAGAAGGTTTGGCTAAGCGCAAATTAGAGCGGGACCAGAGGCAGGGATGGTTTGAAAGTTGGTTTAACTACTCACCTTGGTTAACCACACTGTTGTCTGCTTTAATAGGCCCCGTGATCATACTTTTGCTGTTGCTGACCTTCGGTTCATGTATACTAAACAAGCTAATAACTTTTATAAAAACTAGAATAAACACCGTGCAACTTATGGTCCTCAGATAACATTACCAACAGGTGCCCCTGGACAACTCAGCATGTTGAAGGAATCCAAGATTAGATTCACTCTACCCTCATGAGAAGAGGGGAATGAGAGGGCCATAACAGAGTATACCATAGACTTAGGTTAAGAACATGCTATAACCCAATAAATATGTGATCGGCTTGTGGACAAGCCATTTCAGTTTTCTGCACAGCCATTTTAGTTTTCTGCACAGCCATTTTAGTTTTCGGCACAGCCATTTTAGTTTTCTGCTTTAAAACCTAACCTGTAGTTGTTTAAAGTTCCAGTTATGGGAAAAACTGCAAAGCTCCAGTTCAAGCTTCAACCCCTTCCCTTGACCCACTTTCCCCTTAGCAACAACCAATCAGGTGCCAGGGGGAAATCACCTAAGTTTCCAGATGTCTCTGCAACTTCCCCGGCTAGTGGGCCAAGGTCAGCCCGAGTCAAGTTAGTCAATCCTCCACAATTGAGCTGACCACCAGAGGTTACTACCCAATTAAATGGTAGCAAGACTGGAAAGTCCCCCCAAACTCCTCCTCCCTTTGTGTAACCATGATAAAAGGTGTCTGCTTAAAGAAGTCGGGGCCTCTGGGTGTACTCCGCTGCGTCGGTTGTCGACAGAGGTGCAGACTTGAGCCTGCAAATAAAGACCCTCTTGAACTTTCATTGGAATTGGCTCTTGGTGGTCTCTCGGATTGAACATTTGGCCACTACAATGACAGATATGTTCCTCCACCTCCACCAATACAGGACAAAGCTCTTGACTCCTTGGGGAATTGGAAGTTTCTTCCTGTTATGGGCAATCCTCCACTGGTTGTCAAGACCAGGCTCTTGATTCCTAAGGAGCTGGAAGTCTTTTTGACATGTGGATCCTTGACCTGTACCCAGGACCAGGCTCTTGACTCCTTTGCAGAAAAGAATTCAGGGATGAGTCACAGAGAGTAAAGGAGGGGAGACAGTAATGCCAGTAATCTCCAAGGAGCTGTTCTCTAGATAGGGAGTGCTGGCTTTTATCTAGTTCTTTTGTGTTAGTCTCATGTCAGTTATGAGCCAGAAGTTTCTCTTGTAAACCACAGGAAGTTTGTGTCAGTTTCATTCTAGTTGGAAATCACAGGAAGTTTTTAACCTCTTAACTTTCAGTTCAGTAATTTACCATTCCCCCCACCCCATGCCTAAGCTAGCTAGCCTGCCTCAACTTAACTGGCATCATAATAGTATTTAAAAATATACTGCTCAACAAGACAAAATAAGATACATGATTAACATCTCTAAAGGCAACTGAAAGAAATAAGATTTTGTTATATTTTCCTTTTTTATATCTCGTTTTAACCAGATTTTTCCCTTTTCCTGAATCAGAGAATTCTGATACCGATGGCAGCATTTTCTTTTTCATTTTGCTTATTTATTTATGGTTCTGAGTGCATTTATTTACCTAGCATACAATTCAATATTTTAAAAAAGAATTCAAAAGGTCATTTTTGTTATTTGAGTAGAATCATTAATGGTTAGCAATTCTTAGGGATTCTTTCTTTTTTTTTAATTATAAAGATGTGGGTTACAATTCAGGGTTAGGTATACAAACATTGATTATGCAGGTACCCTTGTTAATGAGGTATGCCACTCCTTTCCCCAACAGTTTCCCACTACTGCCAATCCCTTTCTTATAGTATTATAAGTATTCAAGATTCACATTTTCACATCTTTAGATGTGGGAAGGTTAGAAAGCAAATCTTCTAGTCTCCCTTTTTTAAGCCATAGAAGATCTTAACCTTTAAAAAGTTGTAAGTAAAATTTTAGTATAAAGTATTACATTAAAGGAATATAAAGTTTAGCTACAAAATGTAAATATTTAGAAAAGTTTTCAATAAATTAAAAGACATTCTTGCAAGACAATCAACAAAGTGGAATTTTTCCTTGTTTCTGCATAGGTACAAGGACAACTTCAGGATTTAAAAAAAACCTCATTTATTGGACAATAATGAGGTTACAGATTAGAGCAGGTATAACTGAAGACAGCTTGTAAGAATACACTAGGGGTACTGAAGACAAACTGAGTTAATCTCTGAAAATGCGCCTATTTATGCCCCAAACCAACTGCCTTATAAAATTCTCGAAAACAAGCCTGCGTTTCATGTCATCTAGCATACAATCATTCGTCATCTGGCTTCTTGAAAACTCTGGCCGGGTGCGGTGACTCCGACCTGTAATCCCAGCACTTTGGGAGGCCGAGGCGAGACCAGTTCAGGCAACTTGGTGTGACTTCGTCTCTACAATAAATCAAAAAACTAGTCGGGCGTGACGGCATATGCCTGTAGTTCCAGCTACTTGGAAGGCTGAAGCGGAAGAATCGCCTGAGCCCAGCAGGTCAAGGCTGCGGTGACAGAGTGAGACTCTGGCTCAAAAAAACAACCCCCCAAAACTCCTTTGTACGGTTCCCACAGAATGAAGGTGAAAACAGCAAACGACATTCAAATAATATCAGGAATATTGCTTTGAGTCTGTGGATCCCCTGGAAGGGTCTCGGGGACCCTCAGAGGTCACACCACAATCTGAGAAGAACTGTACTGGCTTCTGTTCTAGATAGAAGCTGGGGCCATAACTATCAATAAGACACTCTCTCTGTGGGGCAATAAATATGTCTGTAGTGGCACCTGTGATCTGTTGTAAAACGGGGCAGATCGGAGTACTGTGAGTAGGACAGGAAGACTTCCTGCCTGGCGGGCCAGGAAAGTCGGCTCCAGGAAAGCGACCTTTAAACTGCGACCTGCTGAGTCCTGAGGCGGCACTCCTTCCCGGCTGCTTCCTCAAA